TGCTAAAAGAGCTGTGAGAGGGATAAATAACTGAAATTTGCTAGTACAGGGTTATTTAGCCCAGTAGAAGAAGAGTTGAAGGGCAATGACACAAATTACATACTGTAAATAAGCTAGAAAATCACAGAGGAAATACACAATTAGTAAGTGTAAAGTGATATGTATGGGAGAAGATGGATCAAGGTGGGGGGCAGCATTGCAAGCTATACTGCAAAGTGAAAAATTTTTCTAATTCAAACTATTGTAGTTTAATAAAGAGAGCCTAGAGTCACTGGGACTGTGAAGAGTAGAACAGCAGGTCTATTTCGAGTTGCCATCTAGGAGAGAAGCAGTGTTGGGTGTTGCTGAGGTAGCAGTAGCAAGGAAAAAGGAAATAGAATTTTTATGCTTTTGAAGGAATCTCACCTTCCCACGTCTTGAAGTGTGTCTGCTCTATTGGTCACCTCAAAGATGTTAAAACTAGAAGCAGCACACTAGAGTGACGTGCATGAGGAAACTTACTGAATGATTTATGTATTGGGAGAAATTAAATTAAGGTTTTTGTTTTGAGAGAAGGTGTGTGAGGATACAAAAGCAGTGTATATAGAAGTACAGGTGAGACTTGAAGAAGGCAAAGAATATTTATTGTTTCTTATTTTACAGAAACAAAGGGATATAATTTCAGACAGATTTTGTGAAATAAGGAGAAAGAATGCTTTTTCTACAGAGACTATAATTGACCTGTGACACTTGCTGTAGGGTGAGGTTGATATATCAAAGCATGTACCTATTCAGACAGCAGTCTGGGTAGAAACATGGCAGCCCATCTGTGGATCTGTCCTCCCTCAATCAGAGCTCAGAGTCTTTGATTCAGAAAGCCGCTAAGGGTAGATTGCCAGATGGAAAATATTTTGTCACTGCTTTTTGCTTTCTTCAAATACATGCTGTAAGATATACAAGTCTTTCATCTGGCTACTATGGTTGCTCTAATGTTCATCCTAACTGCATGAAAACTACACTCACGTTGCCTTTGTTCTGTTCCCGTGTGTGCTACTTGGGCAAAATACAAATAACTCTTCGTTTGGCACTTCTTCATCCCAGGCTGCATTTGTGGAAATGGACTATTGATGCAATTGTCTCAGTGGGTTTGAGTGTCACCTATTTTGGTGGGATGATTTGGGTCTCAGGCTTGTGAAAATTCATAAAACACTATGATGCAGTGTTGTCAGCTGGATTTTTAGGTCAGAATAAAAGGTTTTGATGCTCTTTGCAGCAGTAACCTCCCTCAGCCTGTGAATTACATGCCAGCTGCCACCTTCACCTGCCATGCTTCTTACATAAGGAAAGGAGGGAAATTGAGCAAAATTTCTGCTCTAACTTGTAATCACTGGTAGCAGTTGCAAGGTGGGCTTCTTGTTGTATTTGTCTTTTAGACCAGTCAAGGTTTGCTGCATAGAAAAACATTTTTCTCTTAAAACTAAAAATTAAAAAAAAAATTGAGAGCATGCGGTCTCCGTGGGGGCTGGTGAAAAGCCCACAAAACCTAAAAAACTATCTCTCCCCAAACCAAAGTCCCACTTATTTAAGGACAAATGATATGGATGAGAAAACTCGGTGAAAGGGAGACAACAGCACTGCAAAGGCAGCTAGATATTGCTGTGTTGTTTTAGATCTGTCTGTTAATACATAGAGATCTAATATCTGGGAAACCAGGCAATGCAGGTCTTAAAAAGACAATTTCTGCTTTCCCAGTTGTGAGTTCTGTGATACGTGCTTATTAAAAACACTTTTCTAGAAAGTATTCCTGTCTAAATGCTGCGGTATGAGCAAAACTAATACTGCTAGGAAAGTATTATTATGGGGAAAGTGAAAGTGGGCACGTTAGCTCTGTATGATTTAGAGTTTTAAAATGGCTTGTAAAACTGGCCTTTTTTTTCTTTAGCAATGTCTTGTTCTAGTACCTGGTAATTTTAATACTTACAGGTGTAATTCTCTCTACTAATAGCTCAGCTGCTGCTTCTGAAAAAAAAAGCTGGATCTGTTGAAACAGTTTAAGCATCAGATTTCTGATTCCTCAGTTTAGAAAGTAAAGGCACAGGCATCTCGGCTGACAGACTGAGCTGCTGCAGTAACCTCCTGAGCAAGCAGTGGTGAGGTGGGGAACAGTGGGCAACACCTTCAGCTGAATACAGGTTACAGATGTAAGACACAGGAATACCACCTTAAGGACAGGCTAAACTTGATAAATAGGAAAGGGCAATCTTCAGTTTTCAGCACGATGTTCATAAGACCTCAGGTAGGCGATCCACAAAACTCCAGAGGTTTTTTTGTGGTTTTGAAGAAGACCTGCATACCAAACTGCATATGCAAACAAGCAGACAAAATTGGAGTGTACTTGAAGAGGTGGTTAATGAGTATTCCAAGTGTAGCCCAGTGCTTTTTAAGTGAAAGCTATTACGGCAGCACTATGCAAGATTTCTCATGTTTTGTTTGTTTGGGGATTTTTTCCCTGAAGTGTAGGTGGCTCTTCAGCTCCTTAAATAAGAATGAGACTGTAAGGGGACACACATATGGCAAAGGATTAAAACTGGATAACTTCTGTTATTACTGATGCCAAACTCTGGTTTAGTTTTCCCTTATATGCAGTAGTGAAAGTTGTGCTGGTATTTGAACTGATTCACAAGCAGTCACAAGCTTCTGCCCCGAGGGTGCCTCTGCTTATTGAGAGATGTAGTTGCTGCATACTGTTCTAATCCACTGCTGCATGTCTGTCAAACCAGCTAAAAATGTTTTTGCACAGGTAATAAGTGCCACAAGTAATCTTTCTAGTATTTAAAATCCATCTGCAGTAATTATAGCCACCTGTTAGAATCAGAATGAAATAGCCTTGCACTGAAATCGGTAGAGCTGAATGCTTTGTGTAGCATGGTCAGTGCTAGTGACATGTAATACACTGGTATATCTGGCAAGAAGAGATGTTTTGAAGTACTTTTAAGTGGTACGAGGTAACAGAACCAGAGAACATATTTTTTAAATGACTTTTGCATCTTCATATTTTTTCATATTTCTTTACCAGTTCTAAGGAGCTCTTTGAATCTAAATGTGAAACTGAGGTTAATACAAAGTATGTAAGGTCTCTGACTGCTGCATTCTTGCCGAGTTACTCTGTTTAGAATAACTGATGTTTCTGATAGCCAGCGAGAAGCTCAAAAATAAAAATGCACTCTTGTATGGCAGTTGCACATTCAGATCCAAACAAAATAAGTAAAAATGAGGTCAGAAATGAGTAGTCGCTTTTTCCACAGCAAGATTCCAATTTGGAATTAACACTTGTATAGTTGGTGGTGTAGTTGAGATGTGCATAGAGCAGACATTTCTCAACAGCATGTACAATTCTGTATTCTTTACATTTTTCCTTTTTATTAAAGAATCCTGGTTTGAAAAGCTTTCTTGGAAACTGATTTCAAAACTTGTCCTTTATCCAGAGATTACATTGTAATTTTTGGGATGCAAATATGCTTGCGGCTCTAAGGATCGAGCAACTCCAAATCTTGAGAAGAAAAAATTACTGGAATTATATTACATCAAGTGGTTTGTAGTTTAGAGAAAACCAAAGTTAGGGTTGGTTCTGCAGCACAAATAAAAATATCTTCTGTGTCCAGATACAACTGTCCTTACTACATACAAAAAGCTTTATTTACCGTTCTTCTACCTTATTCAATGAGTGGATAGTTCTTTGAAGTTTTCTTTTTAAAGATGTTACAGACTTCATGCTTGCTGTCTAAGCTTTGATCAGAGATCTTCTTATATGGGCACTTCTATGGAGCTATGAATTAATTTGTTTCTTAATACTGTGACACAGAATAAGCTTTTTTTTTTTCTCTTTATGTGCTAGCAAGAGGAGCATGGCAGCCAGGACTGTCACTTATCTAACCCAAGCTCAGTAACTTGCTCAGCATTGCACAGGTGCTTCTTGTGGAAAGAATAGCTCAGTTTCCTTGGTCTGAGAGCAGTGTTTCTATAGTTCCTTGCTTGATTGACTTAAATCAATACCTTTTTCAGCCAACAGTGTAAGTACAGGGGTCTAGCAGACAAAAGGCTTGCTTGCTGCTGGAGAGCTTTGTCCTAAATAGAGCACAGAATTTGGGAACACAGGGGAAAAAGCATGTAATGAATTATGCTAGATGTATATGGGTTGAGTGGATAACCTCAGTTTATTTTCTTTTATAATACATAATTTCTCTGCATTCACCCTGCCCAGCCTGCTCCTACTTAACCCCAACAATGGCTGAACAAAACCCCAAAAAGCTTAAGTATGTTTTGTCTTGGAATATGTTGACATTCTAGAATCAATTAGTGGTGTTGGGGCCTTTGTACTTACTGCTTGTGTTTCTGCTACTTAATCACAGTGACTTCTGGTGTTGGTGAATGGTCCTCTCTTCCATAGAAGTAACAGAAGGAGGTGACCTTCTTCTGGTTGTTGGGTGCCATAGCTGTGAGCTTCAAGTAGAGGTGCAGGCTCAGACTTCTAAAGTCAGCTCATCTGGCAGGAGGTGTGTTGTCTCATGGTCAACAACTAACACCTGCCTCTAACAGTCCTCCTCTTTTCCCCACCTCCACTGCTCCTGCAGCCATCTTGCAATTCCTGTCTTCCATTGGAGCTTCTCTGCCTTGTCCTGTAGCGCATTAGGTCCTTGAGAGAACATGAGAGAAACAGTTTTTGTTCTCCATTTCTGTGACTTAGTGTAAGCAAAATGAGATTTTTCTTTTCCCTGTATCTTCTGGAAATGTCTGAGCACCTGAAGGAAGGTTCATCAATACAGAAGGGAAAGTAAGATGTCTTTGAAACAGACAATATCTGGCAACATTAACTGTAAGTGCTTTTAATATTTTGGTGGGCTTGGTACTGGAGAGGGTAAAGCAGAAGACCATAAGGTGTAATCAGCTGATTTCAGTCAGTAGTTTTGTGACTGCAATTCAGTTGTTATTAAACTGTTAGTAATCTGTATGCGTGTATGTAGGCCGGAAGCGAGTACCTAAACGGGGAGAACAGCAAGGATTCAATAACAGAGGAGCAGAGGTGAAACAAGACAAAACTGAGTGGAGACCATCTTTCAGGGAACATCATTCCTATGAAGCAGGAGGACAAGCAGAATTCACAGTGGAAAGGTATGTATCATACTGGGAGAGGTAAGGTGTCTCACAGAGGATCTGCACATGGGTGGGAAGGGAAAGACTTAACTTTAAAAAGAGATCTGGTAGCCATATGTGACTTGAAGGCATGATTGCATTATTAGTGTGTGGTTTTGTTGCAAGACAACTTAGTTTATGCGCATCGGAGCTGGCATGAACTGAACATTGGCTGGCTGATTGAAGCCAATCAATCAGCTTCCTCACAGATTGATTTGGAGCAGTTTTGTTAAATATTAGAAATATAAGGCAAAACTGAAAAGTGCAAAGATCTGAAAATATAACCCCTAGTCTGCAACATAAATGTTCATTTCTGAACTTGCTTACCAAGCTTTGTAAACATGTGGTGCAGGTTACTGTTCAAACCAAGAAGAAACCTTTGTGGTACTATTTACTGCTCGGACAGTGGATGTATATCAATTTTGCTTTCTTTATAAGCACTAGAAAATTCCACCTAAATATTTAACACTTGAGAGCATGACTGTTCTTACTTTACATCAGGATAGTTAGTATTTAACAAGTTCCCTGAAATTTTTAGCAGTTGCATATAAATCTGGGTTTAGACAGCAGTGCTATTGTCTGACAAAGTTGCTGAAGATTTGACAGTTTTATAGTGTTTTACTTAACTTCTCTGATGTTTTCAGTGTTATCAATAAACAGCTGAACTTGCCATTCCTGTTATCTGTAATTCCTGAGTTCAGTTTATGTCCATTGTAATGACAAAACTAATACAACTGTACTGTGTGCTGTGTAAAGATGCACTCTAAAAATTGTACAGTAACTCTCCATTCTGATGTCTCACAGCTGCACAAATACAACCATATGAATTTTTTAGTCCTTGTTAACTGTTCTGTAGGAACAAAAATCTGACTAGAAGTCTTCTTTTTAGACCAGTTGAAAGATTAGATTGTGAAAAGCCAGTAAGAGGTCGTGGCGGAGGAAGAGGTGGAATGCGAGGTAGAGGAAGAGGTGGTGGAATCAACAGAAGTTTCAGTGGCTTTGATCAAAGTGGAAAACGGGGATTTGAAAGACAAAGTGGAAATGATAAAATGTAAGTGTTCTGTGTGCTGCTTCTTACTAGGTGTACAAGTAAACAATAGTCAGCTCTGCAGTAGTGTGTCTTAAGCATTCTCTTCCCTTCTTCTATATCCAGGTTGGCTGTCAAAAAGTCAATACTGGTTTTAGTTTGAGATCCTAATGAAAAAAAAAAAGCTCTTGAACTCACATAACAATGTTTCTGTCTCTAGAGGGATGAAAGCAGATGACAAAAAGGGTGGAGGTGGAGTTCACAACTGGGGACTAATTAAAGATGATACAAGGTACAACGTATACTTGTGGCCACCATAGATCATAATTTTTCGTGGCCCACCTTAGATCATAATTTTCTGTTCATCAGTTTCATGTCCATTTTGAGATTTATAAGCTTTGGTTTCTATTGTGGTGTGATAAACGTAGTTTTACAGTTTTCTGAACTCATCTCCTTCATGTTGGTGAGATTAAATTGTAGCAGAGGCATGGTGGTGTTTCTTCAGTTAGGACTGTCAAAATCTGCCTGGGGCCAAGTTGGCTTTTAACTAATAGAAGTTATGACTTTTCTCAATAGTCAAGTAAGTGAGACTCTGGTATGTAATGGCAGTGCTACAAAATGCCGATTAAAAGATTCAAACTCTGTTAGTGACCTTAAAGTCCACTCTCTTTTTCTCAAGTTTTATGTATAAATTGCAAAGCTGTAATGCACTTCAGTGTGGCTCTGGACGTAATATTTAGCTGACTCTACCACTGAAATACATTTTGAGGTGCACAGGAGGATCAGTAACAGAATGTGATGTCTTACTAATGGTCAGTTAGATTAAAAAAAAACAATTGGGATTTTTCAATTCTGTCTTCCTTGTACTAGTTTCTGTTCAGATTTGCGAAAAGCTCACTGGAAATGTCAGCTTTTGTCCATTCTTTGCACCTAGCAATTTGCTGCTCTTGTAGCTTTTGTTCTCAGATGCATTTAGAAGTCTTTAATTGAAGGCTGGTAAGGGACAGAGAAAAGACAGTGCATTGAACTTACAGCAAACATCTTTGGCCACATACACATTCATTCACAAAATTGTTTTAGAGATAAAATTTTATTTTTAAAAATTCCATTGTGGATTCAGGCAACCTGGCTAAATGGTTGAAAAATACAGCCTTGATGGGTAATAATTTTGGGGCTTGATATTCCAACTTCTTCTGAAAGGCTGTACTAGCTTCTATCTCTTCTATAATATTTCATACTAAAAGTAAAAGATTGCTTAGGTGCTCTGACACTTCAAAACATAGGATCAGCTAGGTTACCATAGTTCTGAGCTGATAGCACAAAACTAGCTTCTGTAGGATGTCAGGGAAGGTTGTGTGAACTTCATAAAGTACAAGAAATTTAAGATCCCTTATATTTATCTCCCCAGTTAATTTTTTTTTTTAGTTCAGTAGCATCAGAACTTATGATATAAACATGAGAAGTCAACGTTTTCTTGGGATGTGGTGCATGTGGTGGAAGTGTCATTAAATTAGAGTGTTCTAAACAATTCTAAAAGTATGTCTGTGCTTGAATTATGCTCAGTGATGCATCGAAGGCAGAAGGTGTTAATTTTAAATATGTGTCCCTACCAGTGGAATGAAATTAAGTATGCTCATGCTCCCATTTGACAGTGAACTAATGGCTGTGTTACAGAAAGTACAACTTTAGAGTATGAATTTTAACATTTTAATAGTCGAAAAACAAAAAGGCAAACCCAAACATCAGTGATATACTGTGGTCAATTATTGGTATTAGTATTCACAAACTATTTTGTCTTCATGCATGCTTTTTATTTTTTTGATTAAAAGTCCAAGGAAGTCGGATTGTCCTGATACTTCTCATTTTATTAGTCACTCAAGTAGCCACTTAGTAGATCTACTTTCTGCTTAAGATCCTAGAGGTTTTTCTCCTCTATTTTTTCCCTTCCCAAGGAATTCTGTAAAAAAGTAATGCATTGATCTGCAAGAGTTTTTTTTTCCAGTGTGACTCATGAAGACTTTGTGGTTTTTTTTTTTGTTTACTGTTTTAGTGGGATGGAACAGACTGCTCCTATGGAAGAGACTACACAAACAGTTGAGCAGCCAGGGGCATCTGAAGGAGACCCTCTGAACAAGTATAGTCTGACTAAAATATTTTCATTCTAAATGCAAAGAAAACAATTAACTGTTAGTTATACACTTGTATTGGGAGGCACGCTTGAAATGTGAACTGTGAAGTTTTGTTAGTGCACGTGTTTAAAAACAGAAAAGCTTTGTCTATATTTGTTAGTCAAGAAAGTGCATCCCTATTTCTGGCTAAAGCTTGGTTTATACAGCTGTAGATTGCATTTAATTGCCCAGTAATGGTTATGATCCTAAGATTTGGTGTCAATTTAAGGAGGAGCTACATATTGTCTGTTATCTTTTTAACTTGGCTTATTTATAAAAACTAACCCACATTGTGAAGCTCTCTATGAAAAAAAGGTATTCAAGGTGTGCCTATGCAATCATACAAACACAACTAAAATATGCTAAGATAAAATTCTCTAAGTCAGTATTGATCAATCACTGATACCATGCAGTTGTCCTCTATTTATGAAGGGCCTCTGTAGAACTTGAAAAACTTGCTGTAAATGGTCTTGCAGTGAACCTTAGAAGTAGGGAAACTGAGGGAGAAATCTGCCCCTCATCTTCTGGCTTTCATTCTTGTCCGCGTCAGTGAGAATTTACTTCACAGCAAAAAAACACTGGCTTAAGAAAAAGTAACTGGACAATCTTGTCCCAAGTGAGAGACTTTAAAGAATAATCAGATAGCATGTGGTGAATATCTCCTAGTGAGTGAAAGAGGGTCAGTGCAATATGGGTCAGCCTTCTCTTCTGCTATGAAGAGAAATTAGCTTCCTACGAAGCCTTTTTTACCGAACGATGCAGCTCCAGTTATTAGTGGCCTTGGTTCATTTCTTAATTATAAAGCTGACTAGACTACAAAACCTGTTTTGTATGCTCAGGCTGTATAACCCTGTAAGAAGTTGAGTTGACATAGCTTTGATTCTTTTAATTTTAAACTAGCTTTTAGTATATAGTTAGAGGTGTTAGTACATGGGGAAATCTGTTTCTGAAATTGAATGACTATGGATTCAGAAAACTGTTTCTAGACTAACTTAAGTCAGATGGGTAGTGTAGATAAAATGTCAAAAATGCCCTGTATTAGCTAAATATGAGAACTGTTATTCAGCTTTTTTTGTCAAATACCAGTACCCTTACTTGTTTCAGATTTGTATTTGTTTCTACTCCAATTCAAGCTCTTTGTAGATGTGTCCTGACATTGGTTCTTTGTAGAACGTAAGACGTGAGAAGTATATGTAATGGCAAAGGTGTCTGACAGAATCTGCCAGTTGTCTTTAATTCTATTCCCTTTCTCAGAGATCAACTATGTATTCGGTCAGACTGTAAGACTTTCTGGAGATTTTACTCCTTTTCATGTTTTTTTTAAAAAAGTCTTCGTTTAGGAATAGTCCACTGAAATCCATAAGATTCAAAAATGCAAGTAACCTATGAGTACAGAATTCTGAATTGTGTGTGTACTCTTTCCAGCATGGTAAATATTGTACTGAAGACTCACAAATCTGTATGCAAAATACAAATTACGTATACCTCATTGCTCTTACCTTTGGGGGCAGTGTCAGCTTGCTGACTATGTATTTTAAAATAGAAGAGGAGACATTGTCGAGTAGTGCCTAGGTAATTAGGGATGGTTGCGTACACCTTGACGAATTGAATTATTTTTGTTTTTCTTTTAATATTTAGAAGCTGGTGCGGTATGGCTTTCAGGATTCAGGATGTATTTTAAGGTCTTGTATGCTTAGGTTGCCCCTGCTCTCCAGAGTTGCTGTCTTCTGTCAGGTAGCATAACACCGGCAAAAGATCCTAGCTAGGCTGCCTTCTGCTTTCGTTACAGCCTCAATATTGAGGGTGTAGGGGTGTGTGTTCGCTCTAAGCTACTGCTAGGATTGTTCTCATTTTGACTTTTAAATGCAGCGACTTCAAGGAATCCATTTCTTTTCTACTGCTTTATTGCAGTTTTGTGCTTGTATTGAGAAAGACATGTAAAACTTTGGTTTGTTTCTTCTCTTGTCCTCTTTCCTGTTGTAACTGTTTCCGTTTAAAAGAAAGAAAAAAAAAAAGTATTCCTGTAAATTGGGAATAATCTATCTGTGTTGAGATACTGTATAGCTTCTTGGTGTGGTACTAGCTAATAATTTTAGTGCAACTCTGGAAAGACTTCTCATGGCCTTCTGTGTTTTATGGGGTCTTGCCTTCTGGACTGCGTCCACATTGCTATACTTGAGCTTCAATTTGCAAAGTATTGCAGGACAAGAGTAACTTTAATACTTCTGTAAAGTAAATCAAGTTGTTTCCTTTCATATCTTCAAATTTTCTTGAGTGTATCAACAATATCTATCTCTGTTTATAGCATCCCAAACTGCTTGCTAATAGTTGTGGGTATTTGCTGCAAGTAGTGAGTATCAAATATATAAATAGTAGAGCAGTATAAACTTTCCTCATGGCTGCTTTCTGTTGGACTTGTTTTCACAGCCTAAACAATGTAACACACTTCTGTTGACTGGCAATTCAAATGAATAGATTTTCTTTTTAATCAGTAAGACACATAGTCTAATCAATTCCTATCAAAGATATTTGCAGAGTATTTATTCTGTGGGATTTTTCTTCAATTTTTTCATACAGGACTTTCTTTCTTTTTGGTGGAGCTATGTATTCTTCTGGTCATTTAATAGGAAGACTTCAAAATTTGTCTTCAAGTTGGCTGAGCTATTTGCCTTTATTGTTTGGGTTTTTTTTTGTTTTGGGGTTGTTTCTTTTTTTGTTTTGGAGTGGTTGTTTTTTTTAAGTAGTGACATAGAGCTATCCATAGACCAGGCCAAATCTTCATAAGTATTTGGTTCAGTGTTTTTTCTTCTATAGTTAACTCGTACAGTTGTCGTTTGCTCTTACTGTCTTTAACTTTGAACTTTGCTCTAACTGGTGGTAATGCTCCTGTAAATGGTGTTTAATATGCAGCTGAATAATACAAAAACTGATTTGAAAAAGACCCACTATCATTATTTTTAATGACATGAAACTAATCAGCCAAACAACTGAGCTGACTGACATTCTTTTCCATTTGCATTTCTTCTGCATATTAATGGCTTCATATAGAGCAGTTCTATAGGAAGGCATGCACAGTAAACAAGGTGTAACTAGAAAGTTATGGTAATCTGTTGAAAACACTCCCATTTTGTGTTTTGGTACATACTGGCATTGCTCAGGTGCATGGCCGTGTTGTGTAAGCATGATTGTTGTGTGCCAAGGAACTTATTAACTTGATTAATGAAAATGCACACCAAGCAGTTACCTTCTAACCTTACACATTTTTAGTAGAAAGTAATGCACAGAGTGCACTTCCATGCAGGCTTGGTGCCGAGAATAACTTGCTACAATCGAGCCTCTGTCCAAAATGTGATATGTAGGTTCCTGTTGCTTTGCTTCACTAATGGGAGGTGTTTCCCCTTGGGAGACTTGGCATCCTAAACCAAACTTGTACTGCTAATAACCTAGCAGCTGAAACCATCCTTTGGAGTAAAAATGAAATCATAACATTAGAATTGAAAAAACTAATGTCTGCAGTGTAAATCCATGAGTATCTTCTTTAGAACAGGCAAGTGGTTGTTTTTGATAGACATGTACTTTTCAAAGCTTTTTGGAGAGGTCAAGTTGCTGTGTAGTAAAATGTCCTCGTGTTGTCTTATGATCATAGGAATTTATATCTGAAAGGATTATTGCTGTATTACACTGTGGATAACTGCATGGAGCTGGCCTTAAAGCTTCAGTCAAGTACTTGTTGTTCTTTTGCAAATTGAGAGATTGCTAGCTACTTCTCAAGTACTTGTTGCAACCAGTTCTGTATCTTTCTGTAGCTCTCACCAAGGACTGAAACAGTGTCTCCCTAATGTGGTGAAAACTTACTGGGAGAGGAGGACAAACGACTTTCTGAAGTTCAGATATGCAATTTACTGATTCTGTCCTGAGGTAGTGTCTTAGGAAGTAATTAAACCAATTTAGTAGAGCCACTTTTTATTAGTTCATGGTATTTGACTTATTTCTGCAGCAAACTATTATGGTGAGTATTGCTCCCTGCATGTGATGCTGCTTATTAGGGAACAGCTTTCTGCATATATTATTAAAAGTACACCTGTAGTGTACAGTAATAGCTGCTGGTCCTGGGCAAGTCTGTCTTGGTCAGCATCAGAAAAGTGAGAGAAGAGTAGTTAAGCAGTGATGAGTGGAGAAGAATCTTCAGTTTTGTCTTATGTATCTTGTCTTACAAATACAGACAGAAAGCCTTGGACTTCTCTCTTTACAGTTCAAAAATATGCAAGGCTGACTCTGACGTACTCCGTATGTCTTCCTTGAACATATCATCAATATTGCACTTTGACAAATTAAAGCTGGACTAGATTAATCTGGTTTTGCCAGGTGATACTCTTCTTTTGTGCTACTATGTCTGACAAAATCAAAGAAGCATCTTGTGAAATTAACAAAGCAAAAGTTAGTAATTACCTAGATCCCATGGTGTGATCATTGTGGGTTTTTGATGACTGAAAAATGCACTGAAGAATGAATCCATCTCATTGTCATCCTGCAGTACAAGTCAATGCAATAGGGGTGTCTTAAAACTGCTTGGTATGCTTCTTTTTATTCTGGCTATATTTGCTAGGAGTAGATTCAGTATTAAGCAGTAGGGTTGAGTATATGCCAGATCAAAAGACAGACTGGTTTTGTCTAGAATCTGAAGTGCTTGAACTTACAATGAGACTGGATAGATACCAGAACTTACTACAGGAGCATGGAGACAGAATTTGTTCACATGACTAATTTTCAACAGGCCCTAAGTATATTTTCCAACCTACATAAATGTAAAACTCACACATCAAGTTGCTGTGTGAAGTAAGAGAAATTGAGGGTAGAAATTTGGTGAGAAATATTCCAAATGTTTTGTTTAGTTTCCTTACTTTAGAGATTAGTGTTCTTGTTCATCCTGGTGTGTTGCAAGCTAATGGTTTTTACTTTACAACTATAAACCTTTAGAGTTGCTGAAGGAGAGCCAATGGAAGAAGTAGTTCAAGAAATGACGTTAGATGAGTGGAAAAATCTTCAGCAACAGAATCGACCAAAGCCTGAATTCAACATCCGGAAGCCAGAATCCACTGTTCCTTCCAAAGCAGTGGTGATTCACAAGTCAAAATATAGCGATGATGTAAGCATTGCCTCAGGAATTCCGTAAACTCTGGTTTGTGCCCAGGGTTAGGAAACTGTCTCTAATCTTTTTCTACTAGTTTTCGCATAATCTGAACAGACTAGAAATCACTATCTAAGCTTTGTTACTGTAATCACGTATGTGTCCCAAAACTTGCTTTAAACTTACGGTCTGTTCATTTTCTTCTCTCAGATCATCACCCCTATTTTGTATGCAAATACATAATACAGTATCAAGTTGTTCTACGTTATGGCTCAGTCTTAGCAATATAAAACCTGTGTCCTTGCTGCTGCCACCTATGTAGATCTCTGGTAATGCTACTAGAGGAACTTGGTTTATTAAATGCTTCTTATCCTCACTTTGTATCCTGTTTAGCTTACTTGCATGTATTTATTAAACTCAGGTTTTAGCATCTGTTAGTCTGGATGCTAAGTGTCCTATTTCTCATCTGTGTTGGATCCCAGCTTTCATTGTGCACTTGAAGTATATACTATTTTTTTCAAGTTTTAGGGTCCTGCTTCTTAGAAGTAACTCTGGAGAGCTTTTTCTATAGTAATGTGCTTTTTCCTTCCCCTTTTCTCTAACTTTTTTTCCACCATATTACTGGGATTGACATTTCAGGGAGAACTTCTGGGTTATCGATATGACTTGGGAGAGAGCAGAGGCTTCTTTCTTCTTTCACAGATTCTTGCCTACTTAAATTTCAGACTTTCCGGGTCACAGAAGTATATGCATATACATGTATTATAGCATGATGGAATTTTGATCACTAAGGTCTGCATGCACATATGAATACGCATATTATCCTTTGTCTAGTTATTAACATCAAAACTTCCAGCTTTTTAAGCCTTAATCACTTTAGGTTATTGAGCCTTTTCAGGGATAGACACTAATACTTTGTAGCCTGGCTTTTGGTGGTCTCAGTTGCCATTATCCCCTCTTCCTTCTCTGAAGGAGATGGTGTTAGGGGTGGGGAGAAAATCTTCCACAGGCTCTGAGGAGAGTATAGAAGTGTGTGAAGAGTGCATGCAAGTTTCTATTCTTTTTGCTCATAAAGTTTCTTGGCTGACAGTATCAAGGGACCTTGCCAAAATGAACATAAAATAGGAGGTACAGGAACTTTGTAGTATGGACAAGGCAAAGCTCTGTATTAGACACTGTATAAAATAAGTGATTCATCACTGTATGGGATGAGTTTGCATATATGTTATCATTACTACAGTGCACATTAAAATCATGGTGGGAAATAGTCTTACATCCACTAGATGCTAATCCACTAGCTACTAGGAATACACAGAGTTAAAACAACAGTAATGCCATAGCTGCAGACAAATAGACTACTAGATTGGTTAGTAGCCAGATGCTGTGCTTTACTGTGGCCTTGAAGATAATTGTTGGAGTAAGTAGCTTAAGCCTGATTCTCTAGTCCCTTAGAAAACATTGTAGATGCTATTTCTGAAAAACTTCTTTGGTATTATGGAGCTGGTACAGAAGATTTTGTTGCCAGGACTTTCTGAGCCCACAAAAAACTACCCTAGCCATCTGGGAAGCTACAATTGCCTTGCCTCTGTTAAAACCATGTGGAAGTTAAGGGCTGTCTTCTATTCTGAATGTCATCTTGATTTATCTGCTCCTTAGTCTATAATACAAGTGCATGTGTATGTATCAGGGAGGGGAGAAGGTTGTAAATGGAAGCTATAAGCTTTAACCAGATCTTCTTTTTAGTTGCAAAAAGAAGAATTTGAAGATGATTCTCACATCTGTCGAAGACCAGTGAATGACATAACATCTCAGCTGGATATTAATTTTGGGAGTCTTCCTCGCCCTGGTGGTGGATCAAGAGGAGCACGAGGTGGTCGTGGTCGTGGTCGTGGCAAACAAGTTGAGGAGACAGGACCTCGACCAGAAGTATTGGTAATGGTTTCTATGTTTTTTGTTATTGTTTACTTTGACATTTTTTCAGTTATTGGTGTCTCTGTCCTGCCCCCTTCTGTGTGGAATTAATGATTTCTGTAGTAGCAGACTTTGTTTCTAATTCCTGCCTTGTAGTATGTTGGCCTGGTTATTTTGAGTTGCTGGCCCACATCACATTACTTAAAATTGAATACCAGTTCAGGCTCACAACTCTTAACACGTAAATTTCAAAAGTTCTGATTAATAGTTGCTGTAATGGTAACTAGAGGAAAGGATGCAACAAAGACTTGTTTCTGCAGTGAGTTTTGATATAAATTGGGAAGTAATTAAAATGAGTAAAGGCTTGCATCCCTTACAAAAAAAAAAAAAAGATAGTACATTAATAGTACTTAGATTGCTGAGAGTGAGATCAGCAAATCTGAGATCATACAGATGAAGACAGAATCATACAGCATCCTACAGAATTAGGAAAGAGTTCAATATAACCACAAAAAAAAAAATACAACTTCCACTGACCTTTTTCTCTTTTTTTAAAAAAAAAAAAGCATTTGCACTATGAAAAATGACGTCTTTATGTTTCATACTAACTGAAGGTCTCAGTTTACTTCTGTCTGAGTGAAATACTTTAAGGTTGGGAAGTTACAGAATGATACAGAAGTGATTTGATGCCTTTGTTTCATCTGAATGGAAAAAAGCTCTGTATAATAACAGAGCATAGAGTTTAAAACTACAATCCAATATGTGCAGTAGCCTTAGAATGTAAAAAGATAATAATGCTGCTTCTAAAAACAGACAGTATTTTGGGTGAGATTGCTTTACTTTTTCTTTCTTCAGTTCAGTGCTGCAGAACTTCTGATCTTCTGGTCCTCCCCAGGCAGTAGATCAGCCTTATAAATATGTTCACACTAAAGGAGTTATAGTAGTTACAATTTCTGAGATAAATGCTTAGGACTTCTGTGATAGGGGTGGATACAAAGCATTGAACTCTAGTAGAAGAATGAACCCTTTTCAGGGTAAAATACATAGACATAGCTGTCAGATGCTTTCAAAATACATTCATCTTTATAAAGCTTCTTTTCTTACTTTATAGGTGCAGCTTGTTGCTCCAAATCCTGATGATCCTGAGGATTTTCCAGCTTTGGCTTGAGGAACAGTCATGAATGGTGTTACCTCAAAGTAGCCTTGGTGTAGCTGTGAAGAGACCAGTTTTATGCTGGTGTGGATAAAGAAAGTCTGTTTCTATTGAAAAACCTGTTTGGGTGTTTGGTGTGGAATGATAGCAGCCCTTTGCTAATGGAGTTGGTTTCTGGAGGTAGTGGTGGACTGGGATCCTGTCACAGGTTCCAGTGTCTGCCTCTATTTGTGAAAACTGTGTGGACGCTTACAGTACTTCACTACAAGGCTTCAAATGAAGTTCAAGAGTACAGTGTTTAAAAATGTGTATATAGAGATTATATCAAGTTCTCCATGACACCATGGTGAAATGTAAACTGTACAACATAGTCTGCAGTTGGGACTCTTATTTTACTGTACATTTGAAAGCTGCTTTCCCTGTTTCTTTGAGTGAAGTGTGTATTTCACACAGTCACAAGCTGCAGTTCTTTAGTTTGAGAAATAAAGTGCTCATTGGTTGGGTTTGAGGTATCGTTTTCACAAGTCAGTGTAGCAGATTGAAGCTTTTGCTATTTGGATGTAATCTGAAAAATAAAAAGAAAAGGGGAAAAAAAAAAAACAACCAAACCTAAACAGCAGACCTTACTCAACCAAAACAGTGAACATCTCTCTAAACTGAAGTGATCTTTAAAACTAAGGCAGCACAGATGCTTTTAATTGATAGCTAACCATAAGTCTTGCTTCAGTAACAAGATATAATCTGTAACTACTTTGAAGGTGACCTAAACTAAGAATTTTGCACTAAAGACAGAACTCTACTGTTAAGGAAGCTTTTAGTTTTAGCAGGAGCAACTACAAGCTAAAATGTTTCACGCCTTACGAAGAAGTTTGTGTGATATTGGGGATGAGGTGGGATGTCCATTCCTTGCAGCTTTAACGTACTTTCTTACTTGAGCCTGATACCCTAACTTGTTCCCTGTCAAACGGGACACTTGCACCTGTTGTTGGGGATATAAGAGAAACATAGAAATTGTACCAGAAGTGATGATGGAAAGAAATGAGAGGACAATCATACTGGACACTTTGAAAGTAGCTGTCAGCCTCAAAGGAGTCTTCAAATGCCTGCTCAACTTGAACTCATTCTTTCAATGTACTGCGAAAGCAGATTAATATAAATATAAACCTTTCATTTTTCCCTGTTCTCTGCCTCACTTGTTTTGTATCACTTCTAAGCAGTCTCCTTTGAGAGCAAATAGTGGATGTGCTTTGAAGAAAAAAAGCTGGTTTGCTTCAGAGTAAGCTCTAGCAGTATTCAGAAACTTTAGCTTATTTCAGTGGTAAGGCTTTATGCAAGTAGGATATAATCATAGAATCATTATGGCTGGAAAAGACCCTTGAGATTATCAAGTCCAACTGTTATCTAACTCTGCCAGGCTCATTTCTAAACCATGTCCCTAAGCACCATGTTTAGATGGCTTTTAAATACATCCAAGGATGGTGATTCAACCACTTAAGCAGCCTGTTCCAGTCTTTGAAAACCCTTTCAGTGTAGAGGTTTTTCGTAATGTCTAATCTAAACCTCCCCTGGTGCAACTTGACACCATTTCCTCTTGTCCTATTGGTTGTAACTTGCAAGAAGAGACCAAGGCCCACCTCTTTACAGCCTCCTTTCGGGTACTTGTAGAGAGCAATAAGGTCTCCCCTCAGCCTCCTTTTCTCCAGGCTAAACAACCCCAAGTCCCTCAGCTGCTCATCATAAGACTTATTCTCAAGACCCTTCACCAGCTTCACTGCGCTTCTCTGGACCCTCTGCAACACCTCAATGTCCTTCTTATACTGTGGCACCCAAAATTGAACACAGTACTTAAGGTGTGGCCTCACCAGTGCTGAGTACAGTGGGACAATCACTTCCCTAGTCCTGCTGGCTACACTTCCTGATGCAGGCAGGGATGCTGTTGGCCTTCTTGGCCACCTGGGCACACTGCTGGCTCATGTTCAGCTGGCTGTCAGTCAACACCTCCGGGTCCTTTTCTACCATGCATCTTTTCAGCCATTCCTCCCCAAGCCTGTAGCACTGCATGGGGTTGTTGTGACCCAAGTGCAGGACCCGGCACTTGGCCTTGTTGAAGCTCATACCATTGGCCTCAGCCCATCAATCCAGCCTGTCCAGGTCTCTCTGTAGAACCATCCTACCCTCAGGCAGATCCACATCCCACCTAACTTGGTGTCATCTGCAAACTTACTGAGGGTGCTCTCAATGTCCTTGTCAAGACCATTAATAAAGATACTAAACAGGAATGGCCCTAACACTGAGCCCTGTGGAACACCACTTGTGACTGGCTGCCAAGTGGATTTAATTCCATTCACCACCACTCTCTGGGCCTGGCCATCCAGCCAGTGTTTGATCCAGCAGAGTGTACACCTGTCCAAGCCTTGGGAAGCTAGTTTTTTCATGAGAATGCTATGGCGACCAGTATCAAAGCCATTACGGAAGTCCAGGTAATAACATCCACAGCCTTTCCCTCATCCACCAAGCAGGTCACCTTGTCATAGAAGATCAGGTTCATTAAGCATTACCTGTCCTTCTTGAACCCATATTGACTGGGCCTGATCATCTGCTTGTCCTGTAAATAGTATATAATAGCACTTCAGATGATCTGCTCCATAAGCTTCCCTGACACTGAGGCCAGACTGACAGGTCTGTAGTTCCCCTGATCCTCCTTCTGGCCCTTCTTGTAGATGGGCATCACATCTGCTAATCTCCAGTCCATTGGGACCTCCCTGGTTAGCCAGGACTGCTGATAAGTTAAGAGTGGTCTAATAAGCACGTCCAGCAAATCCTTCAGCACTCTTGGGTGTAACCCATCTGGCCCCATAGACTTGTGTATATCTAGGTGGTGCAACCATTTGCTCTTGGATTATGGAGATCTCATTCTGTTCCCCAACCCTGTCTTCCAGCTTAAGGGGCTGGGTGCCTGGCAAGCAACTAGTCCTGCTATTAAAGACTGAGGCAAAGAAGGCATTAAGTACCCCAGCTTTTTCCTCATTCTTAAGTCACTGTGTTTACCCCTGCACCCAATAAAGGAAGAAGATTCTCCGTAGTCCTCATTTTGCTTTTAATGTATTTATAGAAGCTTTTTTTATTGTCTGTTACAGCAATAGCCAGATTGAGTTCTATTTGGGCTTTGGCCCTTCTAATTTTCCCCCTGCATAGCTTCACTGCATCCTTGTAGTCCTTCTGAGTGGCCTGCCTCCATTTCCAAAGGCCAGAAACTCTCCTTTCGTTCCTGAGTTCCGGCCAAAGCTCTCCGTTCAGCCAGCCTAGTCTTCTACCTTGCCAGCCCCTCTTTTGGGACGTGGGGATGGCCTGTTCCTGCTCCTTTAAGACTTCCTTCTTGAGGACTGCCCAACCTTCCTGGACTCCTTTGCTCTTCAGGACAGCCTCCCATGGGACTCCATCAATCAGTCTACTGAACAGGCCAAACTCTGCCCTACAGAAGTCCAAGGTGGCAGTTCTGCTAACCCCCAGCCTTACTTCGCTGAGAATCAAAAACTCTTATTTCATGACCAAGATGGCCTCCAAACATTACATCTCCTACAAATCCTTCCCTGTTAACAAGCAGCAGGTCCAGGAAAGCACCCTCTCTAGTTGGCTCCTTCACCAGCTGCATCAGGAAGTTATCTTCCACACACTCCAAGAACCTCTGGGACTGTTTCCTCTCTGCTGTATTGTATTCCCAGCACACATCTGGGAAGTTGAGGTCCACCCATGAGAACAAGAGGTAGTGATTGTGAAACCTCTCTCATCTGCTTATAGAGTATTTTGTCAGCCTCATCTTCCTGATTGGGCGGTCTGTAACAAACTCCCACTGCAACATCTGCCTTGTTGGCCTTCGCCTTGATTCTTACCTATAGACACGTGACCTTATCATCACTGTCACTAAGTATTAGACATTCATGTCTCTCCCTGACATAGAGGGCCACTCTGCTGCCTCTCCTTCCTTGCCTGTCCCTTTTGAAAAGTTGGTAGCCGTCAACTGCAGCACCCGTCATGCGAGTTGTCCCACCATGTTTCTGTGATGGCAACTATATCATAGTTTTCTTGCTGCACTATGGCTTCCAGTTCCTCCTGCTTGTTGCCCATGCTGCGTGCATTGGTATAGAAGCATTTCAGCTGGGCTTATGATCCTGCTGCCTTCTTTGGCAGGAAGAAGCCCTAATTCCCACCAGACCAGTCTCAGATGCTTCCATAGTTACCAGCCTATCAACTGCTGGGTCTTTGCTGCTGCATGGATCACCATCCCCCACCTCCACTGAGATGGCCGACTGTAAGACCTTACTACCACACTGTCCCACAGATACCGGCATGCCCTTCCCAGGCTCCTTGCTAGCAAGCCCAGTTTTATCCCCATCCCCCTTTGAGTCTAGTTTAAAGACCTTTTAGTGAGCCCCGCTGGCTCTTTCCCCAGAATCCTTTCCCCCCTTTGAGATAGGCATTCCCCATCTGTTGCCAGCAGGCCTGGTGTATTGTGAAGCAGCCTATGGTCAAAGAACCCAAAGTCCAGCCAATGACACCAGTCTCGGAGCCAGGCATTGTTCTACTGGCTTTTCCTGCTTATCCCCTCATCAATCCTTGCAACTGGTGGGATAGAAGCAAACACTTCTTGTGCTCCTGACCCTCTAACCAGCTATCCCAGGGCCCTGAAGTCTCTCTTCATTACCCCCAAGTTTCTTATTGCAATTTCATCACTGCCTACCTGAAAAATCATTAATGGGTAGTAGTCTGAGGGCCAAACTAGGGTAGGGAGTTTTCTCTGTATGTCCTTAACCCTGGCATTAACCAGGGAGGCAGCAGGCTTCCCTAAGGAATGGGTCTGGTCTGCATATAGGACCTTCTGCTCCCTTCAGAATCAAGTCCCCTACTACAAGGACCTGCCTTTCTTTTTTTACTGAAGATGTTATGATGCGAGCGTAGTCCGTCTTGGCCTAGGTGACAACTCCAAGTTAGGCGAACTGTCATCTTTGTCATTACTCGGTTCCCCTTGCAGAACCATCATGTCTGTTTCGCAAGGGTACCTGGGAGGGTGGTGGGGTTGCTGGGGGTTGCTC